AAATAATATATATACATATATTTTCTCATTGTTTCTCATATCTTTCTCATTGTTGTCCTTCATCTTGCAGGCTCTTCCACCTTTTGATTCATTCTGTACAGTTCATTTATCTCTCTCTGCTTCCCTCTTGATTTACTACCAATTTCTTTACTTATATCATCAATCTGATTATACCATTCTTCAAATATACCATCTCAGTCCCCAGATGCCCAGCCAAAATTCTCAATATGGAATAATAACAAAATGAAATCAAAATAAAATATTATCTAAAATTATCTTAATACACCTGACCCTACATTATGTCTTTAAAAGTAAAGGTAGGACAATAGCCCATAACACACAGCGTTACTGTGAGGAATTGCGTAAGATTTGATTTGAATTTATTTTGTTCCACTTTAAAATACATAAAAATACAATATATAAAAATAATTAAAAAGCAACCACAAAAACAACAATATAAACAGCACCATGTAAAAGTTAAAAAGAGATAAAAAATTGAAAGAAAGTGAAACCTGGGATAACCCAATGGGGACCAAATCCTATTTAAGCATTCTAACAGAAAAAAGGCGAACAATAAATAGGAATAAAAAGTTAATAAAAAAAAAGGCAAAAATTAAACAATTCATCAAGCGTAATTTAAAACATTTTATCATAAATTACAGTACAAAAATGCATATAAAAATAGTATTTACATTAATTTAAGATTTGTAGGAAAGATAATTTTTAGCTTAATTTTAAAAATTCTCATCTATGGGCATGGTCTGTGACTAAATAGCCACTGTAAAGAGGCACTTATTAGTAGCTAACATGTTCACATCATTCCACAATGACAGGGGCTGAAATGAAATATTGCATCGGGGTAACCCCCTACTCTTCCCTGAGATTTAATGAGTTCTTTGAAGTGCACACGAGCTAAATGTGTACACTGAACCTCCATTTTAAGTCCATATTTGAGAAAACTTGGTTCTATCAGGCAAACCCTGAGCGAGGAACAATTGGAACCAGTGCCAATATTAAGGCTGTAGTTGGTGTCCCTGCATTACCACTTGGCCACTCAACATATCATAACATTTTATTTCCACAGGCGTCTTTAAAGATCACTCTCAAGCATTTGATCCAATAAACTTCCTGCTTCTTCACTTGTAGAACTTTCATAGCCCATGTCATAGTACCCTAATCACTGTCTTTACACCTACCTTATTAGCTTTACAACAACAAAAACTGCAGAAACATGTACACTAAAACATTAAAACTAAACTATAAAATATTCTTCTTCTCTCTTATGTTTTGGTAATCTTTTAAAACAAATTTTTTAGCTTCAACAGCCAGTCTGGTACAGGGTCTTCGCATTTTGCCCGAATTTTGAAGCCACCTAGCAGTAAACTATTCACAATGTGCTTAGCCGACAGGACTGTTCTACCATGTCAACTAATTAAAGTCGATTTAACATGCACCAGCTCATTTTAGGTGTAAGTTTCTGCATTTATACATTGTAATACAACATTAAGATCCACATCAAACCTCCAAATGTATGCTAGATACTACTGTGTGAAAAGCTTGTCTGGTATGGACACAGAAGACTGACTTTGAAGAATGTCACTGACATTAAAATTACAGAATACGAAGAATAAGGTTCATTAATGCCATTAGGGATGTTACACACAATTAGACAACAATTTTAATCAGTTGCCTAATGTAGCAAATACATGTTTTACACAATGTTGGTTTTTCATTACAAAATTTAATTATAAAATATATGTGTTCCACATTACTGTCAGTCAGGTATGTTAAATATTAAATGAAACTTGGTTTATGTAAAATTTTAACAGCCAAAAAAAGCTAAGAATAAAAAAAGTAGGATTTAATACCTGGTTCATTAGAAAATTTCAGGTTAAAAAAAGCAGAAGTGAAGTTTGTGCCCAGGAAAACATCTTCACAATAGAGCTGATTAATCAAGGTGCCCCAATGCTGACTGTTACCGTGACAACAATCTAATATTCTGATTGATTGGGAGTTACTTGAATTAAAAATCATCATATTCATTCATGCATTCTCAACCATCAAAGCAAGGAGGTACAAATAAATATTTTATAGATCCTTAATCAGAGGTAACCAGGTTATATTAAATTTTAAACAGTTTCTTAATCACAGTCATTAAATATAATTACTAAGTTGATGAAGAGGTTAACAGTTTAAAAATGGGCTCTTTTTAATGACATATTTTAAGGTGTGAGGGAAAAATGCTGTGGATACAACCATTTTTCCTGAAAGAATATATTTCGTATTTTAATAAAAACAAACCTGTTTTACTTTTTAAACAAAATAATATAGTGTGGAATTACAAAACTTACATGGCAATATGTAATGTAGATAAAAGCTAAATATATGTTGGCATTACTTTGTTGTTGGCAACTCCATGGAGAACGCAATTTGACAAGATGCATAGAATGGATCGTTATTTAATGACAACCCGCTCATACTGCCACCAAAAATCAGCAGAAAACG